AGAAGGTTTCATGAGGTGCTGAAAAGAAGGTGTACACTTTTGAGTTTGGCTGAAAAGTTCTCTAGACATCTATTAAGTCCATTTGAATTAGGGTGTCTGTAAGTGCCTTTATTTCCCTATTTGTCTTCTGTCTAGATGATCTGTCCCTTGGTGAGAGTGGGTGTTGAAGTCTCCCACTATTAAGGTGTTGGGATCTATGTGTGATTTAAGCTTTAATAATGTTTCCTTTATGAATGTAGGTGCTCTTGTATTTGGGGCATAGATGTTCAGAATTAGGATGTGTTCTTGATGGATTTTTCCTTTGATGAGAATGTAGTGCCCTTCCTCATCTTTTTTGATTAATTTTGTTTGAAAGTCTATTTTATTAGATATAAGGATAGCTACCCCAGCTTGTTTTCTGGGTCCATTTGCTTGAAAAACATTTTTCCAGCCCTTTACTCTGAGGTAATGTTTATCTTTGTTGTAGAGGTGCATTTCTTGGATGCAGCAGAATGTTGGATCCTGTTTCCTCAACCATTCTGTTAGTCTGTATCTTTTTATTGGAGAATTGAGTCTATTGATGTTGATACATAATAGTGACCAATGAATGTTATTTCCTTTTATTGTGGAGTTGGTGGTCTTATTGTGATTCAGTGCTTGTTTTCTTTTAATTTTTTTAACGAAATTATCTGTATCCTATGTTTTCTTGGGTATAGTTGTTTTCATTGGATTGGAGTTTTCTTTCAAGTATCTTCTGTAGGGCTGGTTTGCTATGTAGATATTGCTTAAATTTTGTTTTGTCATGGAATGTTTTGTTTTCTCCACCTATGTTGATTGAAAGCTTTGTTGGGTATAGTAGTCTAGGTTGCCATCTGTGGTCCTTTCAAGTGTGCATGACATCTGCCCAGGCCCTTCTGGCTTTCATAGTTTCTGATGAGAAGTCTGGTGTTATTCTGATAGATCTACCTTTATATGTTACTTGGCCTTTTTCCCTTGCTGCTTTTGACATCTTTTCTTTTTTCTGTAGATTTAGTGTTTTGACTACAATATGATGTGATGTGTTTCTTTTCTGGTCTAATCTATTTTGTGTTCTGTAGGCCTCTTGTATGTTTATGGACATCTCTTTCTTTAGGTTGGGAAATTTTTCCTCTATGATTTTCTTGAAGATATTTTCTGGACCTTGGAGCCTGGAATCTTCTTTTTCATCAATTCCTATTATTCTTAGATTTAGCCTTTCCATGTGTCTTTGATTTCTTGGATGTTTTGTGATTGGAACTTTTTCGATTTTACTTTTTCTTTGAGAGAAATATCGATTTCTGCAAGTGTATCTTCAGCACCAGAGATTCTCTTTTCCATCTCTTGTATTCTGTTGGTGATGCTTACCTTTGTGGTTCCTGACCTTTTCTCCAAGTTCCCCAGCTCCAAGGTTTTCTCAAGGTTTGTGTTTTCTTTATGTATTCTAATTCTGTTTTTATGCCTTGCACCATTTCCTTCATCTGTTTGAATGTGGTTCCTGTCTGTCTATGATGGTCTCTATTCTTTTGTTTGTTTCCTTTCTATATGCCACTAATTGCACCTCTACTTGTGCCTCTATTTGTTTGGCTATATTTGCCTGTGTTTCTTTGAGAGCTTTGTTCATTTCCTATTTATTTGTTTCCATCTGTGTGGCAATTTCTTTGAGAGAATTGTTTGTTTCCTCTTTATGTGCCTCTAATAACTGGAAAAGTCATTTTTCTGTGTTTCCGATGAATTGGAGTACCATTGATTTTGGGGGTTGCTGGTGAAGCCATGATTTCCTGATTTTTGTTGGATGTGTTCTTTTGCCGACCTCTAGCCATTTGCTTATCTGTAACCTTCACTGTTTGTTCCTGGATTCTGAAGTTCAGACTGATACCATCTTTCTCTGGTGTTTGGAGAATTCTTCAGGAAGATGAGACAGGTCCAGTTGTTTCAGCGTTTGCATTGGTGTTTCAGCTGTACCTGTGGGAGGAAAGTCCAAGGGCACAGAAGGACAAATTCTGGCAAGCATGTGCATGGAAGTGTGCTTTGAGGGACAGGGTGCTAGAGAATATAGAGACTTTCAGTATGAGGGAAGGGCACCTTGGAGGCACTAAAGGGGTTGCAGACGCTGAAGGTATTGCCAGCACTGATGATGATCACAGGCGCAAATTCCCTGAGTACCTCAGTGGCCTACTGGTATTCTTCTCTGACTGAGCTCCAAGAGTTATTTGCCTAAACTCCACTGGTAGATCCGCAGAGCAGGGGCTTCATTGTCCCAAGAAACTCTCTGTTTCCCACAGGGGATGAGTGGGTGGGAGGGGTCTGATGTCTGGCTGCTAGCTTAGAAGCATCCTGGATCTGGGGCTCTGTAGGCACTTGAGGGCACACTCACCCACTCAAAATGTAAAGCACAGGGGTTCTCCTGTTCTCTACTGGCCGGTTTGGACCTGCTGAGTCAAATGCGGCAGGTTGAGCTCAGTCAGCTTAGTGGTGTTGCAGCCATTAAACTAGGGAGTCCACCTGCAACTGCAGAACTGGAGTGTCCAGGTGCCTGCTGGGAAGTCCTGGGGAGCCACAACAGTGGTCCACAGACCTAGGTGGCCCGGCGCCTGCTGTATCTGGGTGGTTTTGCAGGTCTGCTGGACTTTGGTGGCTGTATAACCTGCTGTTTGCCACTGAGGTATTGGGTGGCTCGTACAGACATTGGCTGGGAGGCCCTGCGGAGTCGGTAAGGCTGCTTGCAGACCCAGAACCGGGAAGGATGGTACCATGGATCTGGGACTCGGCAGGTGGGTACAGCTGGCAGCTGCGGCTGAGGAGCTAGGAGCCCTGCCTCTGCTGTGGCAGTCCCCACGCAGTGAGTTCTGTGCTGAGTGTCACTGGTGCTGTGGGTTGGCTCCTCCGAGGAGAAGGAGGCCCGAAAAAGGGAAGTGCCACCCTGGCTTCCTAGAGAAGTCCACGGCTGTCCTGAAGCCAAATGTTCTTTGCTCCTGTGATATCCCCTCTCTTTCAGGAAGCCTCAACGTCGATTTTCTGGTTTCAGCTGCCCCTCTACTCACCAATTTCGGAGTTTCAGATCCGTTGCCTCTCTGAAACAGTGTGCTCTGGTCGCTGCCATCTTGAATCTCCCCTCATATTATTTTTTTAAGGAGTGGTATAGTCTATGGATTTTACTAACTCTGCAAATTTTCAACTTGTCAAATTAATTGAAATGAATGTCCATAAAATTCCACAATTGGTTTGTTTTAAAATAGGTTTAAAAAAAAGGTATGATAATGGTAAATTGTGCCATCTCTACTTTTTCCTCTAAGTCTGTTTTAAAGTTTATTTATTTAGGGATCTTTTATAGTGCCAAGGTGTAAAGGTAATTCTGTTTTGTGATTTCAAATGACATGACTGCTTTAACTTCAAAAACTACTCTATTTTTTTTCTGCTTTTTGCTAATGTCATACAAGAGTCTCGGGTAACTGATGTGAGTCACTGTTCCTTCTCAGTGTGGTCAGTGTGTAAGCCGAGTGCGTTCAGCTACTTCAATGCTCTTTGTTGTCATCCCACAAGTAATTTACCCATTGATACTTGACTGCAATCCGTGAAAATTACCAAATAAGTTATGGGGATTTTTTGTTGGGGGAATAAGAGGTTGCCACAAATATATTTTGTTCACCTCCTCCACAATCCGAATAAAGCTCGTTCAGCTAGTCTTGGGATTGGAACCTGTAGGACAGGAATACTAAGTTGATTAATTTGTTCTTTTTGAAATTGTATTATTGGTGTGGGAAGCTTTTTGGTACGAGTGTGTCCATAATATCAATATACTTCTGGGGTTTTTTTCCTAAAGGATTAGGGTGATCAAAGGAATCTTTTCTGTCTTCCAGTTTGAACTGTTGCTGTTCTGGGACCCTTTGATCTTACTATTTAGGGAAATTTACTTCTCATTATTTTGTTGTTATTGTTGTTTGTTTGTCTTGTTTTTTTTGTTTTTTTTTTTTGTGTGTGTGTGTGTGTGTGTGTTTGCATCAGAACAAAGTGTAGTGTGTGACAGTGTGCTGACATATGGCCAGAGAAGCTAGAGGCAAGCTCTGAGATATGCAGAGTTCTACTCTATATTGTCTCTCATCTCTGCTTTTTTATACCACAGGTCCAATGACTCCAATCCTTTTGAGAACAGTGATTTTTGTTGTTTAAATTCAGTAAGATACCTCACCACCAACCACCACCACCCCCTTTTTTTTTTTTTTTTTTTTTTGGTTTGGCTCTCAATTTGCTATTTTCTGGAAAATAAACCCCTACACAAAGGGACCTCATTAATCTCTTGCTACTCTGTAATTCCAGTCCAGTGTTCTTTGTTTTCCAATATGTGCCAATCGTAAATTTCAAATATCTATATCTATATTTATATTTATATCTATGTGAGTGTGTGTGTGTGTGTCCTCTTGGTTTGTGTCTGGCACTCTATTTTTACTTTCTTTTTGTTATAATTTTATTATATTACTGTACAAAAACCATAACCATTATTTTCTTGTTGTTTGGCTTCTACTTTAACATTTTCAACATTTGTGTTTGTGTAAATATTTATTCTCCAAGTTCACAAAGTGAAAATATTGATAGAATTTTATTCTTTATTCTTTTCCAGTTGCTTGATGATGTTCCTGTCTTTTCACTAAATAGTGAAATAAAACAAATATTATCCAGAGTTCTGACAATCTGTAGGAGTATATATTCATTTGGAAAAAAAAACATTTTTAGAAAAAAATATAAGTGTTTTAAATTCTACTTCATCAGAAAAAGTTTCCTAGAGGACTATGGTGGTATATCTTTAAATCTATGATGTTTTATTTGTTTGTCTCTGGATTTATTTTTTTTTTTATTGTTTTCTGGTTTTTTGCCTAGGAACATGAATGATTTTGATTATTTCAGGTCTTCATGTACAAATAACTAATAGCTTTTTTAATATCTTTTAACATTGTGAATCCTTAAGATACTGTGCATGCCCACCTCTCTTTAACTCTTCTCCTTTTTAGAGAAATGTTCAACATCAGATATAGAAATTGAGAATGGGTTTTTTTCTGAATCCCTTCTGACATATGCTCTAAACAGAAAAACAAGATATAGTTGTAAACAGGGATATGTAACAGCAAATGGAGAAACATCAGGATTCATTACTTGCCTTCAAGATGGGTGGTCAGCTCAACCGTCATGCATTAGTGAGTACTTCATCAGACTGTAGCCATTATACTGCTAATGCACAAAAGTTTTGTTTTACTCTCCTTCTTTGTGGCTAATGCTATTTCATTTGAAAAATGGGCATTAAACTCCAATAAAAATACACAATAATACTTGTTTTTCCTTTTGGACTCATTTTTGCCTTGTAGAATATGAGCCCATTTCCCTTTGCAATGCTTATTTGTCTTGCTTATGAAAATTTTTGCTCCTAGATATAAAGGTAAAAATCCTAATGAAGATATATGTTCATGTTTAAATTCCTGAATAGGTGATAACCTTAAGCTTTGTATTTGACACTGTGAGTAAAGGTCCATCTCAGAATGTCTTCCTCTTAGAAGATCTTCCCAAGTACTTTGATATTGGAAAGAAAAAAATATTTTCAGGTAGCAGAAAATTTTGGTGTTTTGAAAGTTTTCTTGTTTTAGGACCTATACTTAATGAAGGTTTTCTAAAAAGAATAATTAGGTCATCTTACCATATTTATCAGAAAGTTAGCTAATGGTGTTTTTCAAGAACTATTCAACATACCTTATATAATAAGGAAATTTAAGATATTCACTAATTGCTTACTAATCTTTTTCATGTATTGTGTTTTTACAGGATCTAGTTAAGAAAAAAATTAAAATTGCTCCCATGCAATATTCATTTATAGTAAATTATAATAAATAAGCATTTATTGGATTTTCTTATTTTGAAAGAGAAAACTCTTGAAAAAATACAATAAGCATGTCTGTTTTAAATTCAGCTAATCTCCTTTTCTATATTTTATAAGTTATTTGAACTACTAAATATGGGACATTAATTCACAAAATACTATTAAACTTCCCTAAAAATCATAACTACACTTGTCTATTTATATATAATATGTTATAAGTATAAGAAAAATTGAGCTGAGAAACTACTTCTAAATTAAAATTTTATAAAAGCTTAAGAAAGAAGATAAATGCTTTATAAAAGTATATCTTTCATTTTAATAATTGTTTCAGGAAAATGATTTATTGTTGGTCTTCTTAGGTTGTTTTTATACAGTATTTAATTTCTTATCATATAAAGACTTTTGTTCTCATGGGAATTAGTCATGTCCATTGACAAATTAGAAATAAAATCTTCTATTTCATTTTACATTAGAGTCTTGTGATATGCCTGTATTTGAGAATGCTTGGACTAAAAATAATAACACCTGGTTTAAACTTAATGACAAATTAGACTATGAATGCCATATTGGATATGAAAACAGACATAAGCATACCAAAGGCTCTATGACATGTACTTACGATGGATGGTCTGATATACCCTCATGTTATGGTGAGTACTATTTTCTCTGGAATTTTTTTTACAAAATAGAACTAAATATTTTGCCACTAAAAAATTGAATGTTTTATAATCTTTCTTCTGATTTAATGTAACCTAAGAAAAATGACTGTTTTGAAGGCTAAAGGTGATAATATTTGTTTTTATTATTTTCTTATATTCATTTATTTATGAACAAATATGTACATGTACATACATACATGTACATGTTTATGGAGACGTGCATGCCATATTACACATGTAGATGTGAGAGAACCTTGTGAGAGTCAGCTCTCTCTTTTCATTATCTGGGTTCCAGTGATTGAACACAAGTCTCCAGTCTTAGAGGCAAGAAATCTCATTGACTGAGCCATCTCACTGGCCTGAAAATCTGTTATTAAAGTAATACATTCATCAGGTTTAGATGGCACATGATTATGAGTTTAGCAATTAAGACCATGGAACAAGATATTTTAAGAACATTTTAGGCTACAAAATGAGTCCCTGCTTCCAAAAGCAAACAAGCAAAAAAAATATTAAATGAATTATTTTTTGTGTGGCCTGGCTATATCATGTATGTCTGGTTAGAGTATAATTGTCTTATTATCATAAATTCAAGTTCTTAATTTTTTTAGACTAGGTCTTCATTATCAAAATTATGATTTGGAGTATGAAAGGTATTTCAAGGTAATGAAAACTTGAACAGTGTGAGGGAAGATGATGAAGAACAATTAGAGTAGATCAAAGAGCCGGCAACCAAATTCATGCCAGTGACTGCCCCTGCTCCCCTTACTAAGGAACCCATATGAAGACTGAGCTGCCCATGGGCTACATCTGAATAGGGACAGGGTTTTTCTGTGTTGTCTTGGGTATCCTAGACACAGAGAAAGAGGATCCAGACAGTCTTGATGAGACCTGATAGGCTAGGGTCAGAAAGTAAGGGAGGAGGACCATCAGTGGAGAAGAGATTATAGAGGGTGTGCTACAGCTAGGATACAAAGTGAATAAATTGTAATAAATAATAATAATTATGATGATGAAATTAAAAGAAAAGGGCTAGTACCAGACAGTGAGAAATTTGATCTGCAGCATCAAAGGTCCATTCAAATGTAATTCATCAAAGATGTCTAAACATGGTACAACCTATAGTCTTAGCACTTGGGAAGCAGAAGTGTGAGGTTCTTGATTTCCAGACCAGTCTGGGATAGATAGGAATTGTGTTGCAGCTCTGAGGGGAAATGCTTCCACGGTGGAGGTGTTGAAGGTCTGAGGAGGAAGGTTTACCTGGTACAAGTGTGACAGCTCTGAAGGGAAAGGTATCTTGGTAGCAGGGAGCCAAGGGAAACTACAAAGTCACACTGCACAACAAACCTCACACAAGAGCTTTAGTGGGAAAAGTCTGCTCCTGAAAAAAACAAAAACAAGAACAAAACACGAGAAATTCAGCAGGAGGCAGACTTTATACAGAGTTTCTTGGTGCATTGGAGGACAGAGTTTCCAGTGTTACCTGGGACTGCTGGGATTGTTTGTTCTGATCTTGGATCAAAATCTTGGTGCAAATTTGAGCTCAGGGATTGGTGAGATTCTGTGGCCTAATCTTGGCGCAAGGTCAGTGGTTGGCAGGTTTGTGGCCAAATCTTGGGCTTTTTTTCCCCTGTAGGGTGGAGCTTGGTCACCTGCATCTCGAGAGGCTAGAGATAACAGTTATAGCAGTTTAAGGGTGGGGCTTGACCACCTGTATGCCTCCAGTAGCTTACAATAAGAGGGTGGCTGCCTCTGTAATGGTGAGATGCAGCAGAAAACCGAGGGGGAGCCATGTTTATATAGGGTTTTTGGAGTGGGGCAGGAGTTTTCCAGTTTGGAAACTTCCAGGGTGGAGATTGATGATATTTCAAGATAAACCCAGGGATTGGTGGGATTTTGAGCTCAGGGATTGGTGCAGTTTTATGCTCATTGATTAGTGTGTTTTCAGGTTAGGGATTGGTGGGTTTTCATGGGTTTCATGCCCAGAAGTGAGCTCAGACCTTTTATAAACAAACAAACAGACAGACAGACATAAACAAGTAGCCTCCAAATTAAAAAGAAATCAAACTAAATAAATGGTGATCAGAGGTAATTTCCCTCTGATTACAAGCAGTTCACCATTATGAAATCAGGGCTTTCTACAACGCAGAAATAAAAAAGAATGCAAGGGGAGGCATATTACTTCAGTGAGAAAACACTCAGTTAGCCCATGGCCTTAGGGTAAGTCCTAGCATTACAAATACAAAATGAAAAATAATATAAAATTATTTATATACGATTCCGTGGTGTGACAAATTTTTCTATAGAGACAATACCTAATCATCTACTAACCTCAGCTAAGGAGCCCTTGACAGACCAATAGATACAGATACCGCCAAAGTCCAACTTCATGGACCATGAGTTTTATTGGGGTTACTTTCAGGAATATGGATGAGGGGTCCTTGTAGGCCCAGAAATGACTCAAGGATAGCTGCATCAGCAAAGCCCATTCAGCATGGCTGACAGCTGAGAAAAGCTAAGAAGTATATTACACAGCTTGCAGGCAGCACAACAGGTTCTTGCTTCTTCCAGGAAAAGCTGGTATGATCGATCTTTCTTCTTCTTCTTCTTCTTCTTCTTCTTCTTCTTCTTCTTCTTCTTCTTCTTCTTCTTCTTCTTCTTC